TATTTGCTACTCTAAAAAAATTATATGATAAAGATTGTGATAAGTTTCAGATTAAAAATGATAATAAGCTTGTGACTAAATACATATTCGCTGAAGTTTTAAGATCAGTCTATATTGCAACCTACATATCTACTGCAATATACAACATCTTTAAAACTATAGATATATAGCTATTTAATCCAAACACTATTAGTTCAGATCACTTTGACCCTTCGTTAACTACAGAATAAACTGATCTCCTACAAATTCTTGAATAACCAACTTGCTCTTCATCTTCACCTCCTTCATCTTCACTTTCTTCATCCTTATCTTCTTCATTCTTGCTTTCATCATCCTTGCCTCCTTCATCTTCGACTTCTTCGCTCTTGCCTTCTTCATCCTTACCTTCTTTATCCTCACCTTTTTCATCCTTGCCTTTAAAGTCAGCTCCAAATCATGTTTGCCTTATTAAAACAAATTCTACAAAAAAGGAGTTAATGTCAGAGATTGAATTCCTGAATAAAAAAATTGAGCTCTTACAAGAAGAACTTGAAACCTACAAAAATCCTAACTCAAGCCCTTTGCATCTAATCTTTAAGTATCCTTTGCATTGTAACTAACAATCAGCTAAAGATCCAGAAGGTGAACAAGATGAATCTTAATTGTCTAAACAGAAAAAAAAGAAAACTATGCCTTTTTTCCAGCTTCTTACGAACAAAAAGTCCCTGCAGCAGTTGAGAAAAGTGGAGAGAGAGGCAGAAAAAAAAGCCCAAGAAAAGCAGCACTAAAAGGAAGTGGCTACCCAAAGACGAATAGCATATAAGCCAGAAAAAGTGCAAAAACAAGATGCGTGAAGACAAAAAAGACTTGAAAAGAAACAGATTGAGGAGAAAAAGCAACGTCTTAAGAATGCTAAACTATCAAGACAAAAAAAAATTTAAAATTACTCCAGTGCGCCGATTTAGGATGATCTTTTGATAATCGAGATTTTCAAAAAGATTTCTTAAATAAAATAAGACTTAACTTTTTTTAGTTTAATTGTTTTTTTTTTTTAAATAAAATGTTATTTTTGAAGTATCTTGTATCGTATTTAGTAAAAAACTTGATACTTATTGACGATTTTATAAAAGTTTGCTATTGACGAAAATTAGCTGCACCGAATTAGGCATATCTACCTTAGTTTACAAAATATTATCGGCTTCAGATTTCATGTCATCATGTAAAACTAAAAATTAACTTTCATATGAGCTTGTTAATTTTTTGTATAGTAAACTTTTTTATACCGGGTGAGTGAAAAGTCCCTAAACAGGGACTGTTGAGTGACTTTCAGAACACCCGATATAATTATTTTTTAAATCAAGAATAGAAAGCAAGCATCTCTATTAATATATGCAATATTTAAAGTTCAAATTAATGTTTCTATGCTAGTTTTGATTTAATTTTTTAAGGCTTTTTTTTATGTTTATAATATAAATTACGTATAAGTACTATAATATTCCAATTTTTTCCAATAAGAAAGATAATAGCTGTTACTTTTCCCAGGGTATCAAAGGGAAGTCCAGATGGATTATCATAAAAGAAACTAAGCATACTATCAATTAGAATGAAAGGAGAAGTGATTATCAAGAAAGTTGACAGAGCGTTACTGCCACGCTCTTTCAAACAACATTTGCATAAATTTTTACAACATACTCCAAAACAAGTCGCATATACCAAGTATCCTAATGATGCAGCTATTCCAGATACCCACATACCTGCATTATTTACGTTCATATCAGTAAATGAGTACATTAAGTTAATCAAAGATATCAAACCAGCGATGGGAAGAGCAAATGTTGCAATAAATAATATACGATTTATCACATAATTTATCACATAAATTGATCGTTTCTCATTTTTTTCTTCTATTCTTTCATTATTCATTCCTTCTTCATTTACTTCATTTTTATTATCACCTTTTTTAATAATTATACGGTCGTAAATCATCATATAAGCCCACGGGGCAAGTTTGCTAAATGAAATTACTATAAATTGCCAACTTCCACTACAACGGAGACAAGTAAAGATGACTGGTCCTAGCGTCATAACCATTTGGCAAACTTTAGATAGAATACTTCTTTCTTTGCGTTCATTAAGGTATACTAACACGGTGGTGATAAGCGCCAAAGCCCAACCGATTACACCGATTGTTCCATATGGTAAGCCAAAGCATAATGCATCTCTTTTTGCATTATTGAATTCTTTATAAATAAATGATAAAATTGATATCTACGTTAATTATTTTCACATAAGTTGTCAAAAGTTCTATATACAATAAAATTTAATAATCATACGCGTCGAATTAAGAATGGACCAGGTTGGGGTCGGGGTCGGGGTCAGAGTCGGAGTGAAGGTCGGGGTCAGGGTTAAGTTCGAAGCTCCCATTTTAGTTAGTTTTAACTTCTCAAAAATTTCAAAAATTAGGAATGAAACTTTAGCAAAAAGAATGCATTATAATATATACAAAAATTTATGGAGGGGCACAAAGAAGGGTTGTAACTATATAGAAGTAAATAAATAAATATTAATTTCTTTAAATTAAATTTAATTGTACTAATTAAGTCGTAAATATATATATATATTTTAATAAATATTTATACGTATTTAAAAAAATTACAACAAACTATACGTATAAACAATCAGTATATATGTACTTACATATGTACACAAATTTATTTTGTATTAATTTTCTTGCTAGCTACAGTAATCTGTAATAATATTTGCAATTTGAAAAGATATTATACAAAGTTAAGAATCAAAAAATTGTCTTCTAAAATTTGGGGTAATTATAATGAGAAAACTATTTCTAAAGAATATAACAACTTTCTTCGGTATTTGGCAAGTGGAGATCTAATCTTTAAAGACAATACGGATGCCTTTGTCTTTAGTATATTTGTAAATAATAAGATAGCTGCGCGACGTAGTCACGCTAGAAACCAGGAACGAAAGCAAATATAGTAGCTAACAAATAGTACAA